GGGGATGAGTCATCATCAACTTACCTGATAAAGGAATTAAGCAGATATTTCCATGTCTGATTATTCAAACGAATAAGAGAGCCATTTTGTAATGTTATGAAATATTGTTAAACTTGTTCATTTGAACGGAGAGCATTTAGAAAGCCTTTTATGTATTTAACACTCCTGAGTGAGCAGGCATTTGATTATTCTATATGTGAACTTCTAGGCTGTTGAAGGTTACTTTTAGCTTCTGGCATAAGCTCACCCAAAGCATGTGTTGCACATCTTTATGACTCTATAATCTGGCTCTTCCATGTGTTATTTCTCATGTATCACTGTGATGACCTACATTATTTTTAAAGTGTGTAAACCATGTTAAACCTGCCTTTTTAAGTGCTTTATGACTACATAACTTTTCTTACTTGTCTACTGAACTGAGCACAGGTTGAAAAATCCAGGAACTCATTCTGGTTTTGTCACTCAGAAGCTGTGGAGCCTCTGGTTATTCACCTCAGGCTAAATTGGCTCATTGTAATTTGCCCAGACTAATGGGCAATGTGCAGGTGCATAGCTACCAGGACCAAACTAGGGACTGAATTATGACTGAGCATTTGTGTGTTTAGAATCTCAGACAAGTACATGCCCAGGGATAGGTAGTCCCTCAGCTGCTGCAGTTACATGCCAGTTTTCTAAGGGTTTATATAGGCTTCCTGTGAACACTAACACATTTTGTCATTTTTTTTAATCCAATTATGATTGGTGCTGTGATCTTCTACGCAACTTTTTGTTGAGCTAAAATGTCATCCCAGATAATAGATGTAGGGCTTTGTATTAGAAATTATTATAGGGCTGGGTCTTGACAGTGTTGTTCCAGTTTTAATTCTAATTAATTTCAATGGCATTACATTTCTGGGTTAAAACCAAAGTTATGCACATTCTGTATAGTTAATGCTTAGTAGGCCATTATCTTGAGATGGAGTATCAGAAAAAGGATGTCTAGATAATTGCATCAAGGTGACCTGGTCCCAGCTCCTGAATCTAGC